GAAAAAGACGTGCCCGCTCCTCCTCTTTCGATTGGTGAAAACCGCAGGTAGCTAGGTATTGCGGTTGTCGAGTTATTGAGCTTACACTCACCCCTCTTTTATTCTGGCGCGGACATTAGTATATATACACAAAATATATTATTAAAATCCGAAGAAAATGTTTGAAGAGAGATTGTTTTTATTTGCAAAAATCTTTCGACAAAAACAAAAAAATACTTTACCTTTCCGAGACCCATTTCATCGGCAAGAATTCCATTAAGATTATTATTATATAATGAAACAAGCCATTCTAAACCTTGTATTTGATATGGTTTAAGCATACCTCCAACAAGTAATGCTGATTGTTGAACAACACGTTCTCTAACACGATGTGCAACAGCATAATATGAATCAAGTGATGATGTATGATATTCATCATCTTCTGTCGCTTGTTTAGCTTTTGTTAAAACTTCTTTAACAACATTATCATCTTCAACAACACCTTTTTCTTGTTCATCAGGTGTTGGTATTGGTATTGGATTTGTTGTTTCAGGTAAACGTGTTGTATCATCATCTTCATCATCACTTATATCTCTTGGTAAAGGTTGCCAATCAGGATTTTTTTCTAACCATATATCTAATTCTGATGATAATGGTGCATCAAAACCTTCTTTAATTTCACCTGTTATTAAATTTTTAACTTTAATATGTAATGATTTATTATCATCTTTTATTTGATGATTATTATTATCACTAAAAGTTTGTTTTCTTTCTATTTTTTTTCTTCTTAAATCATTTTGATGTTCTTTAACAAGATTAACTAAACTTATTATATATGCATCTGTTTGTGATAATAAATAAGCTAAACGTTTATCTTTTTTTTCATCAATTAATTTTCTATAACCATCTTCATCTTCATTCATTAAACGACGCATACGTTCACGTTCACGTTTTTCTTGTTCTTTTTTTTGTTCACGTTCTGTATTTTGATGCCATGATAATATTGAACGTGCTAATTTATTTGTTTTTAATTGTACAGATTTATGAAATTCTTTAAATTCACGTGCAACTGTTAATACAGCTGTTAAATATTCTTGATGTTTTTGACGACGTTTACGATCAATTTCAGCTTTTTGTTGTTTTTCTAATTTTTCTGTTGCACGTGCTTCACGCATACCAAATTGTTTTGAACGTTTATATAAACGTGGATTATTACCGGTTTCAAGACTTGAATCCAAACGCATACATGTTACGACTTCAGTACGCAGCTAAACAAGAACAAAACAATTATTCATATAACTTGTTATGTTAAGATATTCAAAATCTTAGATTTAATAGAAAGGACTTTCGAGAACTATCGGTAAAGTCTATAGAATTCGAATTTATATAGATATCCCGAAGATACGAAATAGTTTTTCTGTATTCGGGAACTATGGCATCCTACCTGCTTCTCAGGTCCGGACCCTGTTCGAGTTATTTTCTACTATAAGCCTCTGGAGCTGAGTTATAAACCGTTTTAGTGAAATTTTAGTCCAAAAGAGCATTTCTCTGTCGGAATATTGAGTTTCCAAGAAATGATCGTTTCCCACCAAAATTCAGCATCTCGACAAAGAAACATTCTTTTCACTTCAAATTTTTATAATATTCTACTAGTCATTTTATTTTTCAGTGCATACCTAAAACTAGATCGAAGATTCACTGAAATGGTTGGTATCAGTTCAGATAGTTTCCTCGTTAGTTGAAAAGAGCATTATGTTAACCAAAACAAAAAAAACTGAACAATTAATTGATAAACTCTTCATCGCAGGGAAAGTCTCCGAAGATTGCAAAGTTCAATAGGAATGCTCGACTTGTATGTGAATGTTTCCGAAACGAGAACTTCTACAACCTACATCCACAGAAAAAATATGAATTTTGTTAATCTATGATGATATTCGAATATCTGCTAACAAAAAAAAGTAGCGATTACAGAATACATAATAATCATGATCTCAGATATCGACGAAAAAAAAATAAATAAGTCTGAAGAAATGTTTCTTTTGTACACAGACAGCGCTCGATCAAAACTAATTTAATAGTATCTGTGAAGCTGAAATTGTGTGGACACAATGAAAGCCCAAGGGCTTCGATTTTTGAGAGTGGTTTAAGTTTTGTTGTACTTATGTAAACAATATCAAGTAAGAATATGTTATAAGCAAACTAAGACGATACAAGTCCACGTTTGTTATAGACCCGGATTCAATAGAAGCTAAGTTTTCAGATCCGAACCTGTAGCTTCATTATTTAGTTATGTAACATAAACATAGAATATAATAAATATACTATTTAAATAATATTTTTTTGATCTATTCGAATTTCTTTTTTTCGATATAAAATTTACTACAAACCTGTCTTTGAAAATTTAATAATTTAAGTGCTTTAAGTTCAATCATAGCTCTCATGCGTAGATCATCTTGTATTAAAGTTGGTAGAAGTTTTTCAAGTTCATTTATACGTATAACTATATTATGTTGAATACGAAGATCACGTTCAACAAGAACTTCTTGTATATCAAGACCAGTTGGTTTTTGTATTGGTGTTAAGCGAAGATTATTCATACGATTTGTTGTTGTTGCTACTGCTGCAGTTGTTGTTGTTGTTGATGATGATGATGATGGTGCTATAGTTGTTGTTGTATTAGTTGAAGGAAGTGATACACTTGAAACATTTGTTAAAACATTCTCAGTTATTGATGGTGTTTGATTAATAATATTTGTTGAAGCTTGAACAGTTCCTGTTTGATAATTAATATTTGTATTTCCATTAACTTGAACAGATGGATAATAATTTTGTGGTGTTTGAAAACGTGGATTTGAACCATTTATTGGTGGTTTTGGAGCATTAACTGGTGAATTATAACGATTATCAACGGATGGATTAGGTGATTGCTTTGTAATAACAGCATTTGGAGGATAAAATTGTTGTTGTTGTTGTTGTTGTTGACTACGTTTAATAACCATAAGATGTTGTTCAGGTACAGTTTGATTACGTATAAGATATTTATAAGCACTTATTTGATGATTAAATAAATTTGATTGAACAGAATTCATTGTCAGATTTGTTGACGATGAATTTGTAGATGTATTCATCATTTGATTATCTGATAGATTTGAATTCGACATATAGACTAAAAATGAAACGAGAAAAAAACAACAACAACAGAACATATATATGATAATTAAATTTGAAAAAGAAAAATATTTTTTTCTTAATACTTGTTTGTTGTTGTGAAGGTGGTGCTGTTTGGTTCAACATCATTGGACGTTATTAATCTTTAATAGAATTTTTTTTTTTTTTTCTAAATACTACATGTTAGAAAAACAAAAACAATCTAGAATATAATATAAAGAAAATAATAAAAAAAAAAAATGTTCAAATATTTGATTTATTATTTTTGCTTTCTTTTTGTTTGTTTCATACGTCGATCAGAATTTACTTGTCTGTCTCCTTTAGTTTATTCTTTCTAGATACTTCATAAACGAACGAATCATGGTTGTTCACTTTATTCTATAATAATCAAAAGGTTAACCAATGATAAACAAATAACAATAGATGTCGCACTATATCAATAAACTGTAGGAGATTATCATAAATGGCTTGTTATAATAGAGGTATAGAATCGAAAGTTATTGCCGATCGATATATCGGCTTAGAGCTCTATTTGTTAGTATGTCTAATAGAAAGTACCTCTATTAATTAATTTGATTAAAAACTCGGCACAGGATACAAAATGTTGTTTTGTACTCAACTGTGTTTTGTATTGTTCAAGGTTTTTTTTTCCTTCTTATTAACAGTATGCGCTATATGTTAGAGATAATGATGATAGAAGCCGACAAGTTTATGTTTTTATTTCCTATGATGAGCGAGTCATTAATAAAAATAAAGCAAGATGTTTCTATATATTTCTATATTTAGCGATAGACTTCTATAATTAGCCTTATTTTTTTAATCAGTTATCGCATTTCGTAGTATTGTGTAGTATACATTTTAATTAAGACGTACTGCTTAACACTATCGGATGTAGTAACTATTTAGTTATAAAAAAAAAAGAGACTTTTTATAGAAGTTAATGAGGCCAATTTAAGTCCAGGTCGAAATTCCAGCCTTATTTATTAATTTAATCTGTATAATCCAGCAGCGATTTTTGATTGAGATTTAATTCTTGACAGAGCAAGAAAAAAAAAATCTATGGGATAGACGGAACTTCCATAGATTTACTTGAGATGGACTAAAACATTATTTTAAAAGTGCAGTATCTCCACAATAATAAGCTTAGGTTAGGAACTCTGTACAGAATACTCATAGTTTATAAGAACCTACAAGATGTGTACAGTCCCAGCTGATAAGCAATTAATTAGTTAGAAGACTCTCATTATGAACCAAGAGCAAGATCTAGTTGTTTTTGTTGAAATTTCGGAATCATTTAAATATTATAAACGAAGATGTTATTATCAATTATCTATTATTACACTTAATTACCAATACATTTTCCTTATCTCTAGTAAAATTCATTAGTCGTGCGTATATTGAATTGAACAGAGGAATTATGTAAACATAAAATACTGATAGAAAAACTATAGTAAAATTTTCTTTATAAAAACAACTATTAATTTTTATATTCGTAAGTTTAAGTTTTTTAATAGATAAATAAATGATTATTTGAGAATATAGAAAATCTTTCTCTAGTCTATTATATCACATCATTAACAACACATAATAAATGATATGAATAAAAATTGCAACAAAAAGAAAAAAAAAAAAACTTCAACATTTAGATATAACACAATATATTATTACGATCATTGTCGAATAGTTATATCTTGTTTTATATTTTAGCAAAATAAAGAAATCTTTATCATTCTCTTCAAAATCTCTACTATTCAAAAGTCATATTTGATAAAAGAAAAAAATATAAAAGTTATTGATAATAATGTCAAACTGACATTTATCTATTGTTTATTTTATTTTTTTTAAAGAAGAAAAACAAAAACAATTTCAATCTTCTTCCATTTCATTTTCACTTTCTTCTTCACTTGTTTCATCGGGTTCAGAACTTTCCGATATACATCGATTGCATTGACATAGAAACAAGTAGTTCTCTCTAGAAATAGAAATATTTTTGAATCAAAATGCTCGTCAAATCTTCTCTTTCAATGCAAATCTCAAGATAATTTAACTTAAAAAAAACAAAAAACGATAGAACAGGATTTTTTTTTAATCTGAAATTCAATCGTTTAAAAACAATCAACAAAATTAAAAGTCTTAATTATATATATATACTTCAAATATTTCAATATTATTAATCCAATAGACATATAGAATGGAAGTATTTGTTTTGCAAAATTTATCAAGATTCTCTGAAAATAGAATTTTAAATACTAGATTAACTAATATTTCTCATTTTCAATAGTCTACATTCTTTCTAGTTTTTTTCTCTCACATGTTTACGTGAGTAAGTACGAGCGTAATTAGATAATGCATGTAATTTTAATATGATCAACATTTATTATTTATGTCTTAAATAGATAAAATTTAAAAGAATAGTTGAATTCTCTACATTCACAATATTAATAGTATTGAAATATTCAAAGAATCGATACAATTTATTATTTGATAAAATTTTCTTGAAAATTTGGAAAATCTTTCATATTTTTGATTGAGATTGTACTCAGATAACAGGCTATGATAATGAGTAAAGTCAAAGCCTAAAATAGATCATTTGTCGAAACTTTTGTTTTTGACATATAAAAATTTATACTGAGTTTTTTAACGAAAATTTGTGGTCTTCTTCACATAACCATAAAATTCAAATTTCAAATATCAGTATACGAAGAATGATTGTCTCTTTTATTTGAAAGTTTTCATCATTCATTTCTCAAAGTAGGACATACAAAAATCAATGAAACTTCCATAATAAATTAATATTATTGAGAATTTTGTTTGTGATAAGTTAATATTCAATTTTCTGAATGGATTGAAAAAAACTACACAGATTTCAGTTAAAAAACCTAGTAAAACTTCGATACGCCAAGAACAAAGACTTCGACATTGTTCTTCATGACCTATTGTCTAAGTATATAGTCTCGATCAAAAGAGCCGTCGGATACTTGAATATATTTCCTGTTCAGAAGGGTAGATTGAAGATAGACACTTCAATTCTAATTGATCTAAGGATGACTGCTGCGTTATAAAACAATCTTGAATGAATAGAATTCATTTGAATATAATTCTTATGTATGAATAATAAACTCTTGATTAGTCTCGTAGAAGTTTTTTTTTTTTTCTGACTAGAATAAATTTTACATACTGAAGAAGTTTTTGTCTTGAATGTCTTGAACGATTTCGATCGCATTCAGATAAATAATTTATTGTAATTTCCTATAAATAACTTTTTAATTATAGAAAAACAAAAAAAAAACTTTTAATGTACTTCATTATTCGATATTAATCGTGTTGCAACGACAGATAATGTTGAATTATTATGTTGATATTGTATTTCAGCATTAGCATCGCAACTATGATTTACTGAAAAAGAAAAGATTTATTCAACAAAGGAATAATTACTCCATATGATATCTCGCGTTTGAGATTTAGACATCAGTCATTACATAGGACCTGTTGATTATTAGAAAAATCCTCGAAGGATTCTTTTCTATGTATTATTCTAATTTGAGATTATGACCGTTACATTGAATATTTTACCTTTGACATTGTATTCATAAAAAAAAAAAACTAGACAAATGAATTTTGACCTTAAACCTTTTTTCATAGAAAGTTATTACAATCTTCTAAAATTTCATAGTTTTGCTCTAGGTTTATTTTAGTCTAAAGAGGTTCTACGCGTTATGATTGGAGTGTCACATTAGATAATTCTCTTGTAAGATCGTTCTCTATAATTAAACTTACAACAACTTTGTAATTTAAATAATCCACTTCCTTCACAATCAATAAATTCACCAGAAACTAAATTGAATTCCATATAGAAATAAATATGAACAAACGAACTTGTTTATTTTACCATCATCTATTTTAGTATAAATTGCATCAATAAATTGTGACACATCGCTACTTGCTGCTGCTGCTGCAACTGCTTGTTGAGATATAGATAAAGCTTCACAATTTTTAACCCAAATAGCAAGTGAACTTGTTCCAATGCCTTGTTGATTTCGACCAAGTAAAGCTAATAATTGTCGAAAACCGTTCGACGTAAGAAACCATTTAAACTCTACTATTTGCATATATTGTTCATTAAATTGTTCTAAAGCATATCTTAATTGTTCTACTTGAGACTAAATATAAAGAAAAAATAAATGCGAAAACATCGGATTTAAATCCGAGTGTTATGTGTACTTCAAAAAGTGAAGAGGTATATTCACTTTGTTTTTTATCAACTGAGACATATCTAGGCAATTTGCTTTCTGCATGCAGTTTTTGTGCATTTTGAGACCTTTTTCAGGCGATGTTTTGTTAGAAAGCTACGATTTGGTTCAAAACTAATATCAGATTCGGAATCAGCGTTAAAAACTGAGTCGATTTATATATG